TTAGGGGTCTTAGTAAGGGCTATATACTTGTACTATGATTATGATCCAACTATTACAGAATTGGGGGCAGTACCCAATCTATCAGTTCAGATTTCTGAATGTCCCCCTGAAGATGGCACTTTGCATTAACCACAGCAACGAGAGAAGAGAAGAGGTTCTCCCTTCCTTGTCTTAACTATCAAACATATAACACTCGACTCTCTAAACCCTTTTGCCCTAAACCCACAGCAATCTACTCTGTGGCGCCTTTTTGCCCTCCACCATGAACCTCACAGCTAGACTCAGCCTTCAACAGAAGCCAGTACCCCAGGCTGGGTTTGGGTACCTTTTGTAAGAATGAAAACATATTAGGGTCTGTAATTTGTGTATCTAGGTCCCTTGTTTTGGGAAAATACCATTTGCGAACAAGTTGCCCCTCCGCAGAGGTTTTTGCGCAGGCATCTACCGGCCTGAGGACAGCCATGTGTTCGGCAGCGGTTCAAGAAACTTCAGTAATGAGAATATGACGGTAAGAACAACTAGCAATAATAATACTAATAAAAAGCACTACAGGTAGCTAGATGCATGAGGGCATTGATCTTTTCCTAGCACGTGCACTGCGGAATTTGTATGTTCAGTGCCGCTAAGTTCGGACAGAAGTGCAGCATCGATGCTACATAGCTGTGCAAAAAATGCTGCACACACATCCGCTTCTCCGAGCAGGAGACCTTGCATGCCCGTTTTGCAGATCCCCTCGAGTTGCTCAAGATCTGGTACTGGTAGTTTCCCTAAATATGGGGACCCCAATGTAGACCTTATCATAGGGACCCCCAAAAATGGCCGCAGGACTAGCCCGAACAACAGAGTCTTCGTTTCTGCGCGTTGGCGTTTGTGATAAGAAGCCCACTCTTTCAGTCTTGGCAATGCTTTCGTGAGAGCACGGGTGCTTTTTGAATTCACACGAAGTCCTTCGAATGACAATTAAAGTTTTGAGAATCGACTCTAGCAAAAAATCGGAGCCACCCTTGAACTCCTTTATAGGCAAACAGATCGCAAACTCCTCCTTCATACCAATGACATACAGCCCACATTAGGTACAATCAGGCAGCCTGCCAGCTACATTCTCCATGGCACCAGCCGGGACCATGGTCTCCAGGGCACTCAGCGCCTGTCGCGCAGGGGAGAAACGGATGGGGGAGATCTGCTACTTGGTACAGAGACTACATACTATGTTCATTGACTGAGGGTGAAGCCAACAACTTGCAGCATACCTCCTGTCTTCCCTGCCGAGACACACGTCGGTGCATCGTGGCCGCCGCAAGATACCTGCAACGTACCCTTGCACCCTCCCCCAGTATGACAGTTGGCCAATAACATCCACCCGAGAAGTTCGGATGATCTGGCTTTATCCTCTGCTGTCTACAAGGCTTTCTGGCTGAACACCATGAAAGGTCTGGCGCTGCCCTACAAACTCAAGTCTCTGTGACACATGCTGTTCAAGCCCTTGCATCCTGAGCTAATCCTAGCACTGGAACTGAGATGGTCCAAACCTAGGCTCATAATCAGGAAACTACATTTGGTAGTTTCCCAAAATTAGGGGACCCCAAGGTAGACCCCAAAATAGAGTCCTCAATATTGGGACCCCCAAAAGTGGTACTTTCATCATGGGCATCTGGATCCTACACCAAGCCAACTCATCCACCAGAAGTCGCAACTGGCCTTGGCATCTGCCAGCCTGGCAGCACAAACTGGAAGGTTTTCTCCAGATAGCAACTGGGTTGGCCCCTAAAAGCCCTTTGAAAAATATCAATATATGGGGTCTCTTATTATTAAAGCCATTAGGGAAAATTTTAAATGTCCCAGGGGCCTACCCAAGCACTGCGCGCAAGGTCAGAAGCTTGTAAGCTTTCTCAGGCCTGCAGCCGCCGAGAAAGGCAGCCACCAGAAGGAAGCGCCAAGTCATGGAAGGCCATCTCAAAAGCCGCAGAGCCATAGCCGGTCGGCCGTGTCAAAGGACCCAGGACCAGTGCGTAACAGTAGTGGTGCTTTTGATGCTTGAAGGGCTCGGCATCCCCTTCTGTGTGGGCCGGGGGGACGGGACCTCCTAGCAACTGCTGGGAACATCTTGGATGGAGATTCTTCTGCGGCTTTTCAGGGTTAAGGCTAAGGGCTCTGTGCATATGGTGTGTTACGTGGGATGTCGGCAATACTGCTCATAAGATTGCACACCGCTCTCTGGGCGTACGAGTACCTTCTTGTGCATCAGCAAATGTTGAAGCCTGAGCAGCACTTACGGCATGCTACTTCGACAGCTGGAAAGGCAACAGTCAACACGTGATTGATCCGTGCTGCTGCCCACTGTGCCCCGGGGATTTTGCAAAATCATTGGGACTTGGCTAAGGACACACGCCCGTTGCGAAAAGAAATCATCCGCCTGCCTCTGCCCTGTATGTTCCGGAACATTCCTTGCCCTCCCTACGCTCCCAATGCCCCATGATAAGCGATCTAACATGATCTAACTTTCCTGCTTTAACTTACTAACTCTGCCGGGCACTGTCATTTGAAGCCATTGGCACGAAAGGCTGAGGTGCGAGGCCAGAGGATGGGAAGCAGCACTTCCTTCTGCGCCTGCAACTCTTCTCTCAGTGGGCGGGCGCTATGCACATGTACTGTAGATGTTAGTGCCAGAACTCATGCTGTTCACAACGTCCTTGTGGCTTTATGGATGTGCTGCATCTTTAGCGGTTCGCGAATGCTTGCTGAAGGCTCAGCATTGGCGGGAGGGATAATGGATCTGGTGACGACACGGGAATGCCGGCAACACCAGCCGGGCGCCACTGTTGAAGCCCAAGTTGTGCCGCGCCCCTCCCAAACGAAAATGGGACTCCATTTAGTGGATGGCACCCCAAAAAATTGGGTCACTGTTAGTTTTGAATTAGAATCAACAGGAGGAGGATTTTCAAAGCTCAGTAGCTATTTCAACTTACATTCAATAGGGACAATACCGGGGCGGGGAAAGGGATTGCCGAGCTTAGAAGCTCTCATGCCACCTTTCATGGACTTGATTTTTTGAACCTGGAACAATGAACTTGCGGATATTGTGGCGTGGGGTGATCACTAATGCTACAGTAGCCGCTGCCGCCACTGATCTCAGTCTACTACTGTATGGTCACTGCTTGAAGACGAGTTTATTTACCCCCCCTAGGGACTACTGTTGATACTAAAAATCCTGCATGACCTTATCATACTATAGTACCATAATTCCCAAGGTTTAGGGTACCTGGGGTCATGCAGGATTTTTAGTATCCACCGTAGTGCACTGGGGTCTCAGGCCTTCATCTGCTGGTCCACAGAGGAGAGCGCCATCACTGACGCTCGAATCCTGGCATTTGATGTCTTCCTACAAGCGCAGTGGCTAAAGTAAGCATGCTACAGTTAATAGCAAAACGGTGCAGTTAGCACAGGCAGCAAATTGCCGTTTTTTTTTTTCAGAAATCCCCTGAAGCTTGGTTTCCTCACCCCTCAAACATCAAAGCTTTCCATGGCATTCCTACTTGTGGAAACGGCATCTGTACCAGCCATTCCTGCACCAAAATCCTGAAGACTTATCAGGCTTACCTTCGGTTAGCTGGGAAGGAAGGAATGGAAAAGAAAATGAAACAAATATAATGGGTGATAAAGCTACTACTATTAGGATCCATTCCTCCGTTCCTAGCCAATGAAAGGTAAGAAGATGGCAAGAAGGGTCGGCCGTTTTCTGCACGCTGACGCACACGCAGTACGCTTTGGCAATTGCATCTGCCAAAACAGCCCGCTTGGGTTTGGGCTCAAAGCCTAGCATGTCATCCCAACCACTTACCATATCCTCCTCCAAGCCCTAAACCCTAAACCCTAAACCCTTAAACTCTAAACCCTAAACGTATCATTGCGTCCTATGCAGCCTGACACCAGGAAGTCCCAGTGCATGTCTCCTATCTTTGAACCATTGCATTGTGCCAGGCCGGTCACAGCGTCTAGGATGCAACTGTGAGTCCCACACCGGCTTGGAATCGAACTGCAATGTTCCTTTTCAAAATGAAGGAAAGCTTGTGCTTCGTAGGACCTGGAGGGAGATGGGTTTTACACCCTGTTGCCATCTCGCATCAGTGCCACTCAGGCATAATCATCCTCCATACTGCGCCAAAATAAAGATGGATCTCAAGAATTCATGAATTTTGCAGCTGGATGCCTGGCATGTCTTCAATGCTTTCCTTGAGCCCAGGAACTGAAACACTTAAGCCGGGAAATGTGGCCTCTGCGCGCAGTCTCCCATGTCATCCATATCCATATTTTTTTGATAACGTGCTAGTTGTCCATGAACCGCTTTCTTCGGACCGACTTCTAGCACTCTTAGAGCCTCTTCGCATGGCCTCCTTCCCAAGGGCTATGCTGCACCGAGATCCTAATTCTGGCCCATCTGCGCACAGGACAAAATCTCTTTTCAGAAGCTGCTCAGCTACTCTTCCTCAGCAATCTTTTCCTTGGCTGGCTGGCAGGCATTGGAGGAACTAAGCCCCCGGAAAAAACCTACAAGCAACTGACGGGACGTGCATTTCAAAGCGCCAAAGAGCCTCCCTAGAATACCGTGGTCACTTGCACCCCACCTATCCATTTCAGCGACGTTGGATTAGAGAAGCCTAACAATATCGACCCAAAAGGATCCGTTTATACAGGCCCGCCGCCCGCAGGCGCTCGATCTTCCTCGGAAGCGCCGCCCAGAATTCTGGTGTCATTTTCCTGGGAAGGGTCGTTGGGGGGGGGGGGCTGGGGCTAAAAGAAGCAGAGGAAGCGTTAAGGTTTGGAGAGAGCTGGTAGCTCGTTCAAGAAGCCCTGCTTGCTTTCCCACACCCACCTGTGTTGAAGTCCCATTCATATCTTCCAGCTCAGCTGCTGGTAGTTAAAATACTCCCAGGCGATCTCCGGGAACTGGCTCTTGTTCTCGTCGGTCCAGAACTGATGCCACAGCCTAGGATTTGACTCGGCGAACCTCTAATAAGGGCTGCATGTAGTCCGAGAAAATGGTAAATTCCCCTCAACGGGCGGACCCCAACACAGACCCCAAAATA